CAATTTCGCTAAGACCCTTGACCCCAACCTCGGCGGCTCGTACACCGCCGGCTCCCTGCCCTACTGGAGCCCCAACAGCGCCAACGGCACCCAGGTCGTCATGGAGCTGGGCGATGCGTTCGAGAACGTGTCTATTGCGCACCCGGCTCAGGTGTCCTTGTTGATGGAGTGGTTCCATCGGCAAATTCCTTACTAGGACGATAGGATTGAGGGGTTGCTAAAATGGATGGTTGTGGAGAGTGGGGCGATCTTTCTCCCGGTCCTAGTGGTTTGCGTTGAAGCTTGATGCTGAGATAATATGTATATTGAACACCCTAACTATCTACACTCGTTTGACTTGTCGTGGGTGCTTTGCGATGCATCTCTTGTTGGTCTGGGACTGTATTTGTTATCCTACTGCTCATCAGCCAACTATAGAGTGTAGCTTTATTTGGAGATCTCATAGACTATATTGAGGTATGTGCCAGATCCTTTGGATGCATGTTCAAAGAGCCTGTGCTTGTCAACAAGATGAAGTTGCATTTAAACACAAACCCATTCGGGCACAACCATGAACAGCAGAATAAACGGTGACTATGATCTGAGTCATCAGAGCAGGTGTACTCCGAGATGTCTTAGACAAAGCAGAGACAGGAAGGTAGGGTAGCCCGAATCACATGACTCGTCAAGGACCGTTGCGAGCTGGGAAGGAGAGGGTGAGGCTTGATGTGGTGTGTGGGGCAAAGGTAAATTTGCAAGGTCGTAGACCGTTCTCTTCTTCCCAACGCCAAAGCCTCAACAAACAAAGTTTGTGTCTGAAGCTAGCCCGCCTCGTCTTGGCCAAGCGGGGAAGAACTGGCATTGCCGATAAGATGGGTTCAACCCATATTGTAGACTAAACCCGACAGGGCAGGAGCTAGGATGTGCCAGAAGGGCGTAATGAAAGGATCTACTTCTAGCGCGGGCGCTGGCACATTGACCCGACAGGGAAGATCATCCTTCTTCCTTCTTGAAACAAAGAAACAAACAGCAATCAAGCATTAGCGCTCATTGGCGCTGTGACGTGATGTGAGCCATGCGTAGGGACCGGTGAGCACTACTGCTTTTTTATGTTCTCTACTCCGGGGTAAAGCATCGAACCTGAACCCAAGGAGCGATTGTTGGAAACTCGGAGATTTTCATAAGTCCATTCCTGGACAGGGTCAGGGCAGTAAATCATCATATTCTAGCTAGCACGTATTCTATTCACTCTAAACCATATGTAATCTTTCACCCATGCACCCAGAGGGGGAGGATATAGCCCATACCCCACGGTTGCAACGCTCGGGTGTTCAGGGATGAGACTTGACCTCAACAAAAATAAAACATCGCATCACTTCAACAAGTACTCTCCAACCAATCCGGACAGCAGAATAATCCCCACAATGGCCGTTCCCTTCCCAAACCACCAAGCACAGCTCGCCGGCTTGCTCAGATCTACGACAACGAGCATAGTAGCCAACGCAAGCGCCTCGCCTCCACACGACGCCACAAAATACACGGCGGAGAACTGGCTCTGAACGCCCGTAAACACCAAGAGCGCGATCTGCGCAGCCGCCAAGACGGCAAGCGCCGGCTTCGTGTGATCGCCCAGACGAACGGCGAGCGAGCGCACGCCCGCCTTGATATCGTCCGCGCGATCCTGGTGCGCATAGACGGTATCGAAGATGACGGTCCAGAGGCCCGAGGCCACACACAGGCTGAGCGACGCGGCCGCCAGCCGGGAATCCGCACCCCCCTGGCCCTGCAGCAAGGCGAAGGGCGACACGGGGAACAGATCGAGCCCCAGCAGGGCGGCCGAGAAGGGGATCGCCGCCGCAAAGCCCACGCCAAGGATCATCTGCGGCATGTCGGTCACCCGCTTCCCCAGCGGGTAGACGCTGAGGATCAGCGTGGTCAGGCTCGCGTAGAGCGGGACGGCGGTCAGCCCCGCGGCTTGCTGCAGGGGACACCGCAGGGCCATCCCGGCCAGGAGGGCGACCTGGGCCGCGGCGAAGAGGTTGGCCTGCATCGTGGAGACCGCCCCACGCGCAATGGGCCGCCAGCGGGTCCGCGCGACCTGGCGGTCGAACTCCTGGTCGAAGTTGTCGTTCACGGTGCAGACGGCCCCGCGCAGAATGATCACCCACACGATCTGGTAGATTGCTGCTTCGACTAGGGCCCGAAGGGACACGGAAGGCAGGATTGCCGCGGCAAAGCTCATCCCGATCAGGTAGTGCCAGTAGAAGGCGAAGAAGCCGGCTGGGCGGTCCAGACGCATCAGTTCAGCGTAGGGGACCCAGCTGGCTGGCATCAGACGGAAGATGCCAGTGGAGGGAGGCTGGTATTGGGATTGTCCAGCAGAAGTTTGGGCTTGGCCCTTTGGAGTGAGCGTCATTGTGAGAAGTCTAACAAGGCAAGGAGATTCTGAGATAGAAACTTGAGTTGAAAATACTGATGAGTCTCTGTCCGGCTCACCGCGGGCTTCTCAGACCCTTTTTATAGACCGTTATCTCCAAATTAGCCACCTTGCCCTGACAAAAGTTCTCGTCAGCCCAAGCTGATATGACACTCAGTGCTTGTAGTCGTGCCTTTCCCGTTCCGGGTTAGCCGGCCGTTAGCCACGATATCATCAACCAACCGAGTTTCAGGGTCCATATTGCGATGCGGCTTTGCAAGTCTTGGCCGTCGAATTGCCAGCGTTGTTGACTTATTGTGGGCACGCCAATCTCGTATTCTGAGATCGTGCGCAGGAAAGGGTAAGGTGTAATACTCGAGTGATATTTTTTTTTTGCCGACTTGCATGAACGGGCACTCGTGGATGATTGATAAGCCTGCAGACTTGGCCCTCGTTTTGCTCCCCGTCTTCGACAATCCTTCGGATCCTCCAGGCTGCACAGAATTAGGGCCGTGGTCATAATATGTCGCCATGATTGGTCGGCTACTTCACCGCCCTGGCCCGTGGGGACAGATAGCCCTGATTTGGGACTCTGGTGGTCAGCATTGGTCACAAGAGTTCTTTCATCAGCGTGTCTCTAGGATGTGGGCAGTATTTTTCTATCTTTGAAGCTGCAATGCAGCAGTTCCATCCGATGAGGTCGGGACTAACCCTGGAAGAATTTTCGTGTCGGTTTGACCCGATGTGGGTCGCAATTGTGTGGGTTGCCGTGCCCGTGAGTGAGTGAGTGGTCTTCAGTCGCCGCCGAAAAGGGAAAGGCCCAAGTCGCTTGTTCCCGTCCCGCAGTCAGGCTGCCGTCGCATTCATAATGCTGATATAGCAACTGGTAAGTCAATTCACCCGTCATTTGGAAGTCGATGGAAGCCAGACTGGCACAACTCGCCACTGACCACTGCAATGATGTGTCCAGGTCTACTGCGTGGCATCTGGTGGGCTGTGTTCTACGAGCATTCTAGCCTGCCGTACGCGATCCAAGACGGTCGAATATATGTTGTGAAGTGTGTACGTACCGTACATATCCTCTAGGCTTGCCAGTTCTATTCGCAGTATTTTTCTCCAAACATCAACGAAACATCGTGTCAATTTCAAGCCCTAATACTACGCCGCATTGCGGGCAGCACGGCAACAGCTCTGAGGTGGGACGGAATGCCTGGGATCTGTCACCTCCCATGAGTCCATCTGCTCAAAAAAATGGAACTGAGCACCCTAGGGAAAGATCCACTTACGTTGGCATGCACCGTGACTCCCACATTCACCATCTCCGGGTTTGTGGTTTCAAAATGGGTCTCAAAGACTGCTTTGACTTTTTGGAAGAAGTTTGCACAAGGGTCTCGCTTCTGCCCGAATGTCATGCCGCGCAGTGTGCCCGTCTTGCGCACCTCCTCGATCAGCGCATCGACCTGACGGCGGGAGTTGTAGACCACCTTGCATGACCCGCTTGGCTGGGGCACGAGTTGGAAACGATGCAGCTGCGTAAAGCCGTCGAACCAGTGGTGGAGCTGATAGTTCGATCCGGGGACTTTGTAGCTAGCCGGTCCAGTCCGGTACAGGACTCCCGCGACGTGCGGAGGAAAGGACCCCATGACGGGCAGTTTGATGTGCTCGCGTTGCTCGGCCGTCGTTTCAAACTAACAGCAAAGCATTCAGTGGGCTGCTACGGGGAGTCGCGATCAGGCACGGACTGATACCTACCGCGGCATCGTTGGGCCAATCTTTGAATGGTTTAGGTTGAGGTTTTGTCTGGGCTTGTCTCATGGTTGCGCATTTGCGACGGAGACTAAGAACCGAAGAAATCTGGCGAGAGACCCCCGTTTTATATCCTGCTGTGACCTCAGGGTCGCCGAGGCAATAGACATGCAATGGGAGGTACCGCGGCCACGAGCTGATATTTGCGTGCAGGGGTCATAGATGGGTGCCTAGAGGGGGGATATTCTATTTATCTTTGGCCAGTTCGAGATTGGTGGCTTGTGAAGCGTGATGTCTGTACTCGCTTTTGGGTGAGGTTTGTGCTTAATTGACCCAACCCAACCCCTGCCGTCAGCAGTAGCACGTTGAGCTGTCACCTAGCACAAAGTATGATAAATGAATTAAGCATACGTACGGGGTAGCATCTGCCTGGTCAACAAGGCTGAACTCCTCTCGAAAAATCCGGAGAGAGCCTTATTGAAGATTATAAGAGACCAATTGTTGTGTACAGGTAGCTCCCAAACTCGGACGACAATTGGCGGGGGCATCTTCCTATACTGCAAAGCCTCCATCCAGGACGGCAACCAATCCTGCCTGAGGCACCAGAACAACGCCGCTACGGAAACCCTAACAAGTCACCTAGCAAGCAACGCCAGATTAATGCTTTCATAGTACAGTATCACATCGCCAAGGCAAAATATATGACAAGCTTACCTTGCTTCATCACAACCCTAATCAACCCCAAATGACGTAGTCCCAGTTAAGTGGACCCATCCAGGGTTCCAGCCTTCACGTTTTTCCCCACTTAGTCTCCAGCGGGCCAAGCCACAGTTTCGGTCAGCCTCACCCACGACCGTGTTTTTCTCTCAACCAGTCCCCCTCCACCATAACCAACTCTCATACTGTAGATATCCTCACACGGCACCCAATAAAGTAGATCCAATCATGTCCCCCAAAACCTTCATCATAACTGGCGCCTCGCGCGGTACGTCCACCACTTGCATCATGGCAATCTCCCTCTCTCCCCACCAAGGCTAACAACAACGAAGGAATCGGCCTGACCATTGCCAAGTACCTCCTCAGCAGCCCACAATCCCCCAATTTGGTTGTCGTCGCGCGGAGCCTTGCGCCCCTTCAAGCCCTGAAAGACCAGTACCCCAGCCAAGTCGAGGTCCTGGGCGGCGATCTCGCCGATCTCTCGCTCGGTCGGAAGGCCGTCGATCTGGCGCTGAAGGCCTTCGGACAGCTGGACGGACTCGTGCTGAACCACGGGACTCTGGGGCAGGTGGGGAATGTGGCCGAGGCGGACCTCGAGCAATGGAAGCACGGGTTTGATGTGAACTATTTCAGCTGTGTTGCTTTTGTACGTCAAGGCATCATCATGCCTGGAGGATCAACCGTCCCGGATGGACTAACGATAAGCAACAGGTGCAAGCATCTCTCCCCTCCCTTCGCGCCTCGCAAGGCCGAATTATGTTCACCTCATCCGCGGCTTCCGTGTCAGCCTTCAAGGGATGGGGCTTGTACGGCGCCACCAAGGCGGCCATGAACCATCTGGCGCTGACGCTGGGGGAGGAAGAGCCTGAGGTGGTCTCTGTGTCGGTGGATCCGGGCATCGTAGACACCGAGATGCAGCGGGGCATCCGGGAGGATCTGGCGACGAAGATGGATCAGCAGTTCCATTCGTTCTTTACCACCGTCCACAAGGATGGAGGGTTGCTGAGACCCGAGCAGCCGGGGCATGTTATTGCGCGGTTGGTGCTGGATGCGCCTCGGGAGTTGTCGGGGAAGTATCTTTTGTAAGTTCTCTTGCTTTGGTCTGTATGATGTTGAGATATCATGGCTGACGACGGGCAGGTGGAATGATGAGATTTTGGCCGCTTTTCAGTAGACTTCTTGCAGGGTTCTCTGCATGGAGGTGGATGATTCTAGACATAGAGGCCAGATATAGTAATAGCTACACTTTGTCTATAGGTTATATGCTGAGCTGTACGTTCTCGGGACGCTGAAGCCGCAGACTCGGGGAGGTGGTAGGCCTGTGGTGGTATAACTCACGTTGATATGGTTGGTGACATCCATGTACATTTTACGTGAGCAATTGCGGTTGCGAATCAATATGTTGTACAGTAGGTTCAAAGAAGTCGCAGGACCTTCCCATCTATAGCTGCAGAATGTGTGATAGGCATACCAGCACTTTGCTCCACGCTGTGCCCCCATAACGTTGGAGGTTGACCAGTGCAGCAAGGCTGACAGTGGAGAGCATCTCAGCTAGCTACGTCAAACATTGGGACCAAAGCTGACGCTGCCCGCAAAGCTGCCATGAACAGGGATAGTGAGAGGTAGGTACGCTACAATGGTACGAGAAGGAGCGAAGATCGCAATTTTCGGGTGGGAACGAACCGGCGTCCAGCGCCGTAGACCTTGAATTTCATCTACTTACTGCATCTGATGATCCTGCTCGGCGGTCTCCTTCACTCTCACCGCGAGAGCCACCCCCTCATCCCCGCCCTTGTTCTGGGCCTCGGCCTTCTGCCACAGCTCCGCGGCCTTTTCCCGCTTTCGCCTCACCTCCGCCTCCTCCGCCGCGGCCGCCCTTTCGAGGCGCTCGGCCTCGCGCAGCTGTTCCCGGCAGACAAGCTATTAGTCTCGCTTCGAACCAATCCGTCAATGCCTTCGGTTCGGACTTACCAGCTCCTCGTGGGAGGCGACCTTGCTCTCTAGCCCTTTGCGGGCCTGTCTTTTCTTTTGGACCTTCTTCAGGTCCTTCCTCCGCAGTGCCCGGGGGCGATTGTCGGCGGGGGCGACGATGGTGGCCCGGCCACCCGCGTTGACGATGATCTGCTGAGTGTTCGTCAGACACGCGTGCACAAGAGATAAGGCATCGACGAATGGTTACATACCTGCTGAGCGGGAGCCATGGTTATGGTGGTGGTTGTGGTTGTGGTTGTTGTGGTCGTTGTGCTTGCGCTTCATCAGCTTGGACACGCAACAAAAGGTCACCAAGATGGACTTCCTACCTGAGAGACGATGATTTGGGACGAAGAGGAAGGCGAAACAGAGAACTCGAAAGAGAGGCTGGAATGCAAAGCCATATATACACGCAGCGACCTGATCAAGCCGCTTTCCCTTCCCCTGGAGAACTCTCTCTGAACAGCCATCGATTACTTTCTCTATTATTTCGGGCCACTATAATTGTGTTGCAGACATTGAGTATCGGAGGAGCACGCTATTGATTATTGTGTTAAAGGCCTAGATTATGACTGTACTGATTGTTCCATTGTGGCCCTTTCTTGGTGGACATCAAGGATGGCCGGTGTTACGGTCTCAGGCTTCGGGCGCTTAACCATTGTTTAGCATTTCCGGAACTCACTTCCCATCAAATCAGAAGGCCTTGCCTATCGAATCGAGCGGAGATTGGATGGGAATGTTGCCGGCTGTCTCCTCAACAAATGACACCCTGATGACGTGGGCGAGGGAGATATAAAAGGCCTGGGACGGGAACGTGAGTAGGCAATATGTAAATTGCCCTCTCTTCTATCCATGTAGCTTCGGAAGATAGTGTCTTAAGCTTTGATCATGTTTTCAGTGCTACAATTTCAGCCTGATGTGCAACGTGGTTTACCGTTCTGGTACGCCGCGTGCACGGTGTGTGGGGGTGTATTCTGCGAATCCATCCCATGGAAGAAGCCTTTCAGGGCCGGTGAGCTAGCTTCCTGATTCCTTGCGTGAGATGTGTACATGCTTCCAGTTCATGCTGACATCAATTCAAGTTTATTGCACGACGTCCGGCATCAAGGTGACCCGGACCATCACGGCAGCCCCTAGCTCGCCGGAAGCACACGACGAGGCGCGAATACCAGGAGACACCGAGACCGATGATAGCTGGAGATCGGATGATGTGCCCGCGCATCGTCAGACCGACGTGTACCTCATCCATGAAGTATGTTGGCACCGTCTACTGGAGCATTTCGGCCCCGACGAATTACACCTAGGAAGTCTTTTCGAGGCATTGGAGCTGTCACCGTATACGCCGGGGCATTCTCACTACGCATTTACGCCAGATTCCCACCCCTCCTTCTGGTCGACTTTGCAAGATCAAGAGATTCGGCGTGAGGGCCGGTTCGGACTGCCCGCGCTGGAAGAGCTCATGCGCTTCCCGACAGACCCCCCTCGGCCTGCTCCGTATATCACAAAACGGCGGCGTACCTCCCACCGACGTCGAACGGGCAGGGATGGCTTCCAGCGTCTGCCCCTGGAGATCATCGAAGCGATTGCAATCTTGCTACCGACACGGGATGTTTTGCGTCTCCGTTGCGCGTCACGCGGATTTGTAGGCATTTTCTCCAGCCGCGCGTTTTGGAAAACGAGATTTGAGATCAATGGAGAACGGGGATTCCTGCTGCCCGTCCTCCGCAACTACTTTGAGAGGAAACGGAAGAGGAGGGGGCAGGAAGAGGAGGGGGAGATCGACTGGAGGCTGCTCTACCACTGCACCTGTAAGCTGGGTTGTGGTTGGGGGTTTCGCCTGGAGATTGGGACGTGGGAGGCGCTGCGCTGGGTTCGCGACACAGCTTTGGCGCTGCGTTCCGAGCGGCCTCGCCCACTCGACTTCCGCGGCATGGGCCTCCATCACTATGATAATACCCTCGTGCGGGGTACGTACCGGGAGGTTGTCGAAATCCACGCTCCGGTATGCCAGGTTGCGGTCTCCGTGTTGCAGGAGACCGCCGGGCCTTCCGTTACTGGACTGGAGTTCTTTTTCAAGGATGGATCCAGAGCCATGCTGGGCTACTCCTGTCCTGAAGCAAGGGAGATCCATGGGGAGACGCAGTGGAAACAGGTGGGCATGCCTAATCCGTACTTTTATCCCGGGGTTCGTGTAACCATCGACATCGAAAGTTTCCATGGATTTTCCGTACGCAACCATGTAGCTGGTGGTGTGGCCGGCGTTCTAATCTTGCCCGGGATGGGCTACAGTGTAGGCTATTTGGATACCGTAGAGCGCTTCTCAGTGGGCGATTATAACTTATCGCCCCAGCCATACTACCCTGCCTACAGCTGTCTTGATGAAGTATACCAAGTCACTGCCGTTTCCGATGTATGTCCTATTCTTGCCTTTGTTGGTGCTCTATGATGCATACTGTATTAACGATTGCTTTGCTGACGGTGTCCCTGGGGTCGTCAGCATCGAAAGATCATTGACTTAGGAGTGCTGGGGAGAGGACGAAGACGCCTTGATCAGATATCCGAAGATAAATGGCAGGAAGTAGCGAAATGCCTCAAAGGAGTGGGTTTGATACCAGCGCACTGGAACTTGAGTTAGGGTCTGGGTTTTAGGCTGATTGCTGGGATCCGATGTGATCTCATTCAAAACCTGCTGCTTGGGAAATTGGTACTCCGTCTTCATATGCTGCAGCAGAACGGTCTCCCATGATCCCAAATGGCCTCGAAAACGCCTCCCCTTGTCCATCGTATTTTCAATAAGTGCTCTTCATTCTCACCAAAGACTTGCCGGTCGAAGTGTCGCGCCCTGAGCAACCCTGCCCAGTGGGTAGCAAGGAATCAGGTCAGCTATGGTGGTCGGTTGAATGCTGGAAAACCCCCATTTGTCCTTTAGCTCGCTTGCCACACATTGGCTATGTGACTTTTTGATGCTCTCATTGATACTGCTGCCCACTTGAACCGTCAGGCCTGCTTGCCTTAGGCAGCGGTGGCTTCACGGTTTCCTTCGATTGCGAGTCAAAGGCTTTCTCCCTGTGATCACACACCGCATGGAATGCCACATCCAATTGAAATGGTGCATTCCCTTACTAGAGCTCTATATCTGGCTATTTTCACCTTAGATGGGTAGGAGGAAAAGAAGAAAACAGAACGCTACACATTGTATCTGTACAAGTGCAGGAGCCTAGTACTAAGTGATGTATAATCTGCCTCATAATTTACCTACTACTAGTTTATCTCTTTTTATTTTTCCCCTACCTTCTCCATTTGCTAGACTATGATGACACCTGCGAGAGATGTGTAAGATGCTTGGACTTTGACTACGGCAGGATATTTTGAAAGAACAAGCTAAGGCCACCGAGGTGAGCGGCAAGCAAGCAGCCTGGCAAGGCGCAGGGCCGCCGTCAATTTGTATTCTACTCTCATATATTGAAGCAATTAGTGGAGATCTACAGTAATTCATTGCACCACTTGCAAATGGGGAAGATGTTCACGGAGGGTACTGTAATCAAGAATAAATCATGAACCAAGCCAGCAGTCATCAGGTCGGTTTGGTGCGCACTAGGGTGAATATGTCCCTTAATACTTGTTGATTCTGTTGCTAACCATGGAAGCTCAATTTTCGAGAGTAACGCAAGAAAGAACACAATGTGGAGTAACACATATCTCTATGCTGAAGGATAAAGAGTAAAAGATACTTAGTCATATTATGCTTCCATCTGAAACCAGGTGTGAACATTCACTTGCCTTGGGTCAATAAACGTGTTATACCGTTTGACACGGGCAGACAACACCGCCATGGCTAGTCTAAATTGCATGAGATATATTCTTGTACTTTGACGCACTCTGAAATTCTAGCAGTCGCTTTTTCTCTCCAAAAGTCCCTAGTACACGTGTGACTAATCCCCCAAACCAGATCTTCCTTCGAAAAGCAGGTCTTTTCGCGCGACGAACTCCTGAGGATTGGACCAAGATGCAAGCGCAAGCGCAACCCCCGCAACCGGCAGCACCCCAGTTCGCATCAGTACAAGAATACTGGACATTAGGCGTGATCCGTCGGTACATGAGCATTCTACATCCTGCGCAGGGTGGACCTCAGCCATATGAGCTAGCAGTGGACAACTTCTGGCTCAATGTCTTGCGACATTACTTTCCGCTCCTTAATAATTATAGCGTGGAGCGAGAGTCCTACACCCACCAGCGGAGACGATACATGGCCAATGTGGTTGTTGCAAGACTCGGAAACAACAGGTTGCAGAAGGTGGTCATCGTTCGGAAGGCAAACGGTTTCCGAGCGACACTCAGCCTGGCTGGGAGCAAAGGTACAGATGGACACAGTTGAAGAGTCAGCTGCGGAGAAGCCTTACCGGCGCTCGTAGGAGCAGTCGGACCCAATCTACCATGTATGGCATTGCAGCCGTTGGTGACAGGGTTCGATTCTACCAGCTGCAGCAGGGCTTAAACCGAATGGCTCCCTTTGTCGCTGATCCTCAGAACCCTCCACTTGAAGCGCCCATCCTGAGTATCCACGGAGACCGGAATATGATAGATCGGCTGATCAGGATGATCAGGACCGACTTTGGGCACTAGGCGACGACACCGGGGATGATGCTCTGAGCATCAGCAGGACTAGGTGACGGCTTTTATTTTTGAGCTCGAAACCAGGGGCCTGTATCAGCAAGGCTAAGGGGCGGTTCTGCGAACCAAAACCTCAGGACTTGTAGCAAACCATCGGTTTGCTGTCGTCGCGTTCAGAAGCCATCATCCCCCCTTGGAGGACTCTGGAAGTCCCTCCGTGGCATCCTCTCTTCGGTATCGCCGGGGGCAGGGAGCCTCGGAGAGATTTCTGAGAGAGATACACGCATCAAACGAGCGGTGAGTTCTCGATAATGCCCCTTCCCCAAGCTCGCATTCTCGGACGCTGAGCCTGTCAGACGATTCTGCAGACATGAAAGACTTGTGCATACGTTCTACCTCAATCTCACAGCATTCTAGGCCAAATTATGTCGAATTGTCCATTGTCTTCGGTCACTCGCCAGCTAAAGCCAATGACCGCAAAGCAACAATCACCCCGGTGATCAGCACAGCCTTTTATTTTCCTCGGCAATCCGCACGCACGATGTTCGCTACGCGGCTATAGGTGTTGAGCAGTGTACTCCACTAGTTGCGCTGAGACTGTCCTTTTGCTTATATCCTCTTATCCCATACAATTGACCGCGTGCAAACTCCATACCTATAGTTGCAGGAGCCGCCTTGTGGCCTCAACCTCTTTCCTTTCCTCTAATCACGGCAGTTCCTCGTCCCCCTACTCAAATAACTCAGCATCAGATCTGCCCCTCACGCCGGCCTCCCCCGCCAACCTCGGAATCAACTTGCGCGCATTCCCGAAATAAACCCCCTCGCGCATCTCCTCCGACATCTCGCACCCATCCAGCTCCTCCAAGAAAGCCGGATACGCCGGCAACGGGGCGTAAGGGAAGTCACTCTACCAGCACAGTCAGCCCGCGCACACAAACCCTTCCCCTCCACTTGCCTCCCCGGAAAGAACAAAAGCCAAAAGGGCTGAACAGAAGGATAAAACCCACCCCATAAAGTATCTTATCGCCCGGCACCATCCGCCGCAACACCTCGACGACCTGCGGCGCCGCCGAAAGGGCGAGATCGAAGTGGAAACTCCGGAAATCCGCCATGACCTGCTCGTAGGTCGTGCCGACGACATACCCGGCCGCGAGGTCCGGCGCCTTGCGGAGGGGCGTCGCCAGCCGGGTGATCAGATACGGCAGGGTGCCGCCGGCGTGCGAGAGAATCACCGGGCAATCTGGGTACTTGCGGCGGGTGCCCTGCAGGATCATGTCCATGGCGGTGCGGGTGGTCTCGTGCGGGTAGTCGATGACGGGCTGCGGGAGGTGGGCGTTGACCGCGGTCGGGTCGGCCGGGTGGGTCGGGTGCACGAACACCACGCACTGGCGGCGGTGCAGCTCCGCCCAGATCGGCTCGAGGGCCGGGTGGCCCAGGTATGCTTGCGTGGCGGCGGAGGTGCCGTAGCGCGTGAACAGGGTGACGCCGTCGGCGTGCAGGGTGTCCAGGGCGTAGGCCAGTTCGGCGAGGGCCGCGTCTGGATGCAGGGAAATGTCTGGGAGGTTGGCGAAGAACCCGTAGCGGTCGGGGTGCTTGTCGCGCAGGTCTGCCGCGTACTCGTTCAGCTGTCGCGCCAGCTTGTATGAGGCTTCGCCTTGGAGGATGCAGGCCCCGGGGGCTGTGGTCGAGAGGATCGCCGTGCGGATCCCCAGGCGTTTCATGAGGAGCTCGGAGCGCAGCGGGCTCCAGCTGGGGGTGGGCCAGCCGCTTGGGTCACCTTGCTTGTTGGTTAGTTTTGGTTGATTAAATAGAGTGGTGGTTGACTTGGTCATTGGACATGCCTCCTGCTGCTTCAACGGCTTTGGTGATGGAATATCCCAGCATTAGTAGTGGTTGTTGTTACAGTGCCGGAGTTAGGGCTGGGCTACACGAACCTTCCCTGTAGAACGAGGGCACGAAATGGTGGTGGGTGTCGATCTTGTTGACGGGCGGTGGGTGAGTCCATGCCAGGATCTTCCCTTGCAGCCAGTCCATCCCGTGGTCCGTCATCTCGTTGAGTTTGGATTTCCAGGTCCAGGGTAGAAGCCAATTCAACAATGCAAGCAAGAACCTATAAAGCATTCGATCACGAGGAAAAATGGTGAAGATGCTTGAGAGCATAACCTTCGGGCTAGAGAGGTAGGGTCTTTTTATTGCACTCAATCCAGGAAGTAAGTATATCGGGTGCGTTCCGGACCCCGCCCGGGCATGCGCCGACCGTTCCGGCCACGGCACAGCCCTCGTCTACTTTGTACAATTTAACACAATAACTACATCATAGCCATAGAATCTCCTATCCACATCTGCAGTTCACCGGATATGATATCATCAGCCCTAGACAAGCTTTCCCGCAACCGGATCGATCTTTTGCCGGCCTTTAAAGTCCACCGCTAAGGATTGCGAGCGATTTCGGATGATAGTCTGGAACCATTCCGGCGCACCTCGCTGTTTAAATTCGATACACAATCAGTATCAACAGATCTCGCTTGTCCTAACCGGAGATTGAAATATGAATCGAAGCTTACCAATCCAGCAAAAAGCCGAAAGATCCCCGGTAAGTAAATGGTCCGACTCAACCCACCGACCAGAGTGTCAACGATCGCATCCACCACCGTGTCCGCATGCAACAGCGGCATGAAGAAATGGGATTGGTTGGTTTCCCCTTTAAACATCGGGGTTTTGGTAAAACTCAGGACCAAAAGCGAGGTTCGAATTTTGGGAGCATTGTGGCGAAATGTGAGCTCTTGCGATAGACACTATCGCGGAGACTTGGTTAGCGTACACCGGTGCTTGCCGGGTCTATCCCGGCCGGGAAACATAAGAGACAATATATACCTCATGAAACGCGATTAACCCGGCCTTGGAAGCCGCGTAATCCGCCAGTCCCGCCGGGGGAATATATGCACTCATTGAGGAGACGTTGACAATATGGCCATGCTGGCGGTGAATCATGCCGGGAAGGAATTCCTTGGTCAGGAGGAACGGGGCGAGGAGGTTCGTCTTGAAGGTGATGCTATTATCGTGGTACGTCCCCTCCGCTACGGTTTGGCCGCGCGAGAGCCCGGCATTGTTGACTATATTCGGCTTCATGTCAGCCAGAACCCTAACTCTTCCTTGTTGGTGCTTTTCTCGTTTCGACTCACCCAAGACAGATGGGTCGCCAACCTCAGACCGAATCTTCTCACAAAGGGATGCAATCTGGTTCTCATCGCTCAGATCACATTGATAGTAGGTAATGCGGTCGTTCTCTATTTGTTTCCCGAGAAACATAGCGAGTTTCGTAGGTTAGCTCGCCTTCTAGTAGAAGTTCCAGGTCCAGCATCTTGCTTCCAGCCAAAAATGAGATAACACCAACCGGGCACGTAAGTCAAAGGGATGATATCGACGACCACGACGCGGGCTCCCATGGCCGCTAGGCGCTGAGCGACTCCTGCCCCCAGCCCGCCACTACCCCCAGTGACCACCACAATCTCTTTCGTCCAGTCACCATTCCACATATGATCGATGGTCCAGTTGTTTCGGCTTTGCCTACTGAGATACGTGTTGAGCCAGAGGAGGGCGCTGGCTATAGCGAGGTACTGAGCAAGTTGCGTGTAGAGCGGCGACGATATCCCCGCCTTCTGCGCAACGCACCAGGCAGGGATGCTGAAACCGGGATAGAGAACCGTCTTGCGTAGGCCCGTGACAATAGGATCAATATACAATCCCTCGCGAGGGAGGAAGCTTCTCCTTGGGGTAAACATGCTCTTGGTCGTTAGGCGAAAATTGCACACAGCAGAGAAAGCAGACTGTATTGATAGTACAGATCCTGAGGGTCTCCTGCCTTTCCGAATATAAATCATCCACAGTGATCTTTGGGGGGAGGGGGCGGATTCGAGATGAAGACCCGAAACGCGGGGGAAGTGGAAATAATACTTGAATACCGGTGGTTACCGGAGACCAAAGAATGACCCGCCCGGGAACTTTCCGGTTCTTTCTTACCGTGTACTGTACCGGTACCAGCCTGGAGATGAGTGAAAGCTCCTATAATGAAACCACGACCACTGAATGAGGATATAGGTTCTTATCAGGTGAGTAGTGAGTGCTTTGATGACAGTCTCAGTGGCTTGGATCTCCCGACCAGAATTCACCACTACCTAGCCACGGCGGTAAGTCCGGAATATCCACCCATGAAAAGAGACCAAGGTTTTCTGCACTCAGATTGTTATCGGCAGAGTATGAACACAGGTTCGAAGTCACGGAGTTCCCTGGCACTTCCTCTGAATCAGGCAAGTTCACATCTCGATGGATGGTGAGAGCGTAAGATTCCGCAACAACTCTACTTGTGCCGTCTGCAGCGTTCACACTGGGTTCGGGAGAGGGCTGACAGCGGCTAGCGACTTGGTTGAAGGTGGTCTGCAAGAAGTGGAGAGAGGTTCGCGCCGAGTGGCTGTAAGTCGCCATGTCTCCAAGGATCCTTTCACATTTGGCCCAGCTTTCTTGGATCAGAGAGGCGCCTATCGACCTCAACAACGATGGCATCGAGTAGGACATGACCAGGACGAGTGCTGCGGTGGTTGTATCTATAGCACGCATCTTCAATCAGGAACCGAGGAAAGGAAAGAGGAATTGAGGGTCGTCTTACAAAAACCATTGTACCACCATGCACCTGTAAATGTAGTCCAGCAGGTGTCGTAGACCGCTTGAATGAGATCGACTGCGGTCATAAGGCAGGTCTCGGCACATTTATCCGCAATGCAGGAGTAAAGTGTATTGTCGGTGTTTTGGGTGAGCGGGACACGACCAGGCTCACTCCCATCGCCTTGAGCACTGTGTGAAGCCGTCTCTGAGTAGCACTGAGTGAAGATACGTCGGTAAAGCAGGAGGCGGATGTGACAGTACCTACACACTGTGAGTCAGAGACTTGAATTGGGCAGGAGTCAAGGGGTTCTATAATGCTCACCGTACGTGGAGAACATTCCGCTGCCGTTCCAAAGTGGGGGAGGGCTCTGTGCCGCCATATGTCGACCTTGGCACGGTCCAGTCAAGATATGATGGTAAAGTGGACTTGTAGACATGAAGCTGTTTCTCCAGCTCGATCACATTATCTACGTTGAAGTCTTTCGGGAGATTCGAGGGGGTAGGGTCCTCCTCCGACTGGCTATTCCATGTATTATACACGTCGGATAGGATCTTGCCGAGAATTTGGTGTAGTTGAATTGACGCAACATAGAAGCTCATTTCTGATCGTATTGCTTCGGTTTCAGGTGACACAGAAGCGTCTAAAGAACGCGGCAGTGGAAGAAAGGCGAGATGACTAGTCATGCTGGGTCGGCCATGTGTCATGCTGACTAGGCTAGATGCATGAAACGCTATCAGAAATGATGCGCCGAGTTAGGGATGAAATATGGGGCACTTACATGTCGAGCATTACACAACCATGCCATGTTCGCCGGCGCACATCACCTTCCAACGAGGTGCACGGAAAGCGACTGTCATTTTTGTGCAGGCCCAGCCCCTGCGCGATTCGACATGCCAAACCGATTGCATTCCAGCATCGACTGGGATACGGGGTGCTCTGCAGATACAGGGCGGTGAGGAGAAGCGTTTGGACTACCCCGATCGTGTTATGCTCCAGAATGTCTAGACCAATGAACCGTTTGCTTCGCAGGAAGAAGGAGTGGGCGGTCGACTCTCGTTCTTGAATTGGGATCTCCGCGAAATGGCAGGCCAGCGCGAACATGGCATTCAAGGCCGCGTGAAACACAATCGATCTAGGGCCTGAGTCGAACTGCCCACCCAGACCGATGTTAAGTTTCGACAATTGATTCATGGGTTCTTTCTCGGACCTCCAGAGGTTCTGGTACGCCAGTTCAAAGTTAGACCTGTCAAAAAAGGGGTATATGCAAGCTACCCGGTCCCAGTAACATTCGAGTAGCTGGTCAGCCACCGAGCGGGGGGGCAGTGTATAGTCATCCGGTCGATAGCAGGTGTTCGCAGACTCCTGGAATTCATAATTAGGAGTGCCCTGGGAGTCTGCGCCAATCGGCCCCGATGAATGTGGGCGTAGAGTCATCCGCGCGAAGCGCATGAGTGAAGCAGTGGAGGAGGAGCCATAGTACTCTTTGGCAGGTACAGGTGCAGGCGTACGCAAACACCCGTCCGGTGCGGATATCTGGCCCATTCCCGTAACATGACCAGGGCTTTCGAAGTGCGGCGACGCAGAGCTGGGGTCGTCGTCGAAGGTGTCTACCTCTCCTGTTCCATGATTATGTATTGTTTCTGGTACGGTGGCAGTGGGTTGTACACCATGAAGGGCACTGTTCGCGTGGTCGATACTTCCCTGTCCCCCTTGAAGCTCTCGAGACGACGCTGGAGACTGACGCTCATGTTGTGGTTGTTCTGCTAAAAGGCTCACACCCGAAGAGCTCCCTTTCGTTGCAGATAATGACACTCCAGCTCGAGCGCATGCATCTTCAAGTTCCTGAATCCGTAGGTGCAAGGCGCGCATGTACCTGAGCCACTCTTTCAGCAATAGCACGAATTCATCATCGATACCAACGACTTACTCATCTTGACTTGCAGTTCTGGCGTTATCCATGGTATATACGCAACCGCGAGCGCCATGGGGGCGTCGTAGGCATGGACCACATGTGGGTTTCACGCCATCGCACCGAGTCTTCTTCTCTCGGCAAACATCGCAGGCGAGGGCGATCTTCCGACGCGACGCGCGTTGTGGTTTAGTGACTCCGCCCGTTTTGGGAGGCATGCTGCAAAGAAACAAAAGGCAAAGCACGAAGGACGAAATGGATGGCAGAAGGCAAATTGAACTGCGGTTTTGTCTTTCAGTTCGTTTTGGGTTGAATTGCGGGGCTGGGGAAGGATATAAGCATCAGTCAGGGGGGGTGCCGAGAACCGCGGCGCGGCGCGGAAGGCAGAAAGCGCGCCCCACATCCATGGGAAAACCTGTTCGTGTTGGGGAGAGAATCAGCTCAATCCTCTGTTTGTTGACCTTCGACTACATTGAGCTTTTCCTAAGACCCTGAATAAAAGCAGCAATACTTCTCTTCCCACATCTTGCTTTACTGATCCGTCAATGAGACCTTGTATTTATCGATCACGTGATTACAAGGTCCGGCCTTCTTGTGCCCCATGATACATTGACACGCCATAAACTTTGAATCATAATCACAATTCCGCACCGCAGCCTCAAAAGTCCCATCAAAAGAGGAAATAGTGACGAGACAGAGTCCAATTGTGCAAGACAAGATATAGAAACACTTCAAGCACCCAACTCCTGGGTTAGATCGACTGGAATGAGGTGCAAATACCGCTTCGACATTCCGAGCAGAGCTAGAAGGAGAATGAAAAGCAGGATTCGCGACGCTGACCGATTCTTCAGACCGTTTCTTCTCTGCCACTGAATCTTTGATGTCAGTCAAATTTATAGAAAGGAAAAGACCTCGTATTGGAAGGCCCCCTTACCTTGATATGCCAATCCGACCACGTCGGGAACAGGCTGCGCCACCAGAAATGCGCCTGCGTCCAAGGATACGATATCGAATTCCACTTCGACTCGTTTAGGTACCACTGATTCAAGCATGGGTATAAGCTTTCAAGCACATTCAGGGGCACAGGTTACTGTAGGCAGAGCACACTTACCGAGACACAACCAGCATTCCACACACGCTTTCTCAGTGCCCCCTGAACCCAGTAGACATAGCTTCTCTCGGCTTCCTGTTTTACTTCCACAGCCGAGGCAGAGCCGCTCAAAACAGGCTTCAAGATGCGGAGTGCATAATTGATAGAGCTGTTCGAGGCATAAAAACGTCAGAAAAAGAAACTAAGGAAGATGAAGATCCAAAGGACAATACGCACTTCTCTGCAGCCATCAACGCCGAAGTATGGCCCGTGGCCGCATTCGGTCCCAGCAGCAAAAAGAAATTTGGGAACCCGCTCATGACGGAGCAATTGTAGGCAGACGGACCGCCATACTGGGCCCAATGCTCGCTCAGGCTCGCCCGGTTGCGACCGACGATGTTCATGTATGGGGCAAATGTATTAGTCTCGAAGCCAGTGGCGAGCACAATCACGTCGGCAGGAATGATATCTCCCTGCTTTGTTTGTATGCCCTCGGGGACGATCTTGACGATTTCGACATTGGTTAGAGTGATTTTGTCATTGTGCAGAGAGTCGAGATAGCCGCAGTCGATAATGCGCCGCTGGAGCATATGAACGTCAGCCATGGTACATATCTGCTTCTAGTTGATGCGAACCTTGCACCCGACGTCAAAGTCTGGAATCAGGAGGTCATGGTACTTGGCCGGGGCAGTGGCCCGCATGTACTTCTCCAGTTTGGTCTTGCGCTGCGCTCGCAGTCGGGCGGCTGCCTTGGTCATGGGAAAGAGAAAGTAGTCGCTTTCCGCCGCGAGGAAGATGTGCAGACGATGCAATCTCATCGTGAAGGGGATGTAACGGAAGATCCATTGCAGGAGAGGCGGATATGCGAAGTTATGCGTCGGGGAAACCCAGTGTTTGGACCGAATGATTTGAGTCAGCGACTCGACTTTGCCAGCAATGGCAGGCACAATCTGAGCCGCTGTGCCTGTGTACGTCAGAGCAAGAAGATAAAGTTAGCAGGAGGCCATTGAATGGCCGTTGCGTTCGTCATGAGTGTTCCCTTACAGCCGTTCCCAATGACAATCACCTTCTCCCCATCCAAGCTAACACTATGGTCCCATCGCGCGGAGTGGAAGATGGCACCACGAAACTCCTCTGATCCGGGAATCTCGCAGCGACGAGGCTTCACCAGTTGACCACTGGCAGCGAACAGGATCTGACATTCGTGAGTGAATTCACGGCCCGTCCTGACATCCCGTAAGTAGAGGAGCCATCGAGCCGCATCGTCTCTCCACACGCATTGGGTGACTTCGGTGGGGAGCACCATCTTCTCGCGGAGGTGATACTTATCCATAACACATTCATGATACTGTTTGATCTCCTGGTTGGAAGGGAGCATTCTGGTCCAGTTGGCATTCAATTCGAACGAGTAACTGTACAGTGCGCTGGGCACATCGCAGCCGCATCCAGGGTAGGAATTGATGTACCACGTTCCCCCACTGACGGGGTGTCTATCAAAGAAACGGATATCATCCAAGCCGTACCATCGCTGCAAGGTTGCGCCAAGAGCAACAGCTGACAACCCAGTGCCAATGCAGGCAATTTGGCTGTACGATGGAATTTCAGGGGAAACCGGCAACAAGGGATCTTTAGAAGCCATGTCTACTGCGGCAAAAAATTGATGCGCTTATAGTTATGCTAGGGAGGAAATCTAGTGCTAAGAGTTGGTGCTCAAGATCTGCTTTGTATATGTATGCACCGTGACCGAGGCGCTTTAGGATGGTGGAATAGCCTTGACCGTGCCAGAGCTAGGGCTTGAGCCGCGGCCGCACGCGATCCCGGATCATTGCCGGATGGGCTTTCGGGATGACCCGACCATGCGGGGAACCAGTAGCCAAGATGTGAAACTATTGTGACATGTGATTAACAAAGAGACTATGGAGTTGCATCGATAAGACAGCCAGGATAGAAGACCAAGCCATGTTGCTGGCAGACATTTCAGGGAGCTTTTCCCTATGGTGTACCTCCGGGCCTTGACCAACCCCTAGTCTCAAATCCAGTATGGCAGCAAGAAAGCAGCTCTCCTTTGCGCAAATGTTGGACTTGATAGCTGCCTTTGCCTTTCGGATCCCTCTATCCCTAACATTCAACGTTTTCAAGGCCGCGATCGGAGCTTCAGCTCGAGGTCTTCCGCTCCGCCCGAGCATCCAGAATGCGTGCGCAAGAGCCATCATGGACTGCCTCCATCCCCACCAGGTCCAGGCAATTGCCCCGTCCACGATGCAAACATACACATCCTGGATCCGTCGGAATGCGCAGCGCACGGGATTCTACCACCGATTTGACACACTGAAGGACGAGACAACTCACCTCGTCTGGCTTGGGCCTAAGAGATCCGATAAGGTGATACTATTTTTCCACGGTACTGGGCCCTTTCTCTCTATCCGAATCTGTCAATGAAACGCGTAATCATGAAGCTCACCTCTTCAAGGAGGAGGATATCGAACTCCAAGTCCGCCGTAAGACAGTGATCCGGGGTGAAGACAAAGATCGGCCGCCACCGCAGCAGTTCCTTAATAACTCCACAGATATAGGGCATGCTTTCCATGTCTGACAGACAGGGCAGACGAAGTGTCCCGTTCTCTTTGTCAACACACATCCGATCCACCTCCTCGCGCGCCTTCTGGAACTTGTCCGGGCAGCAGAGCGCCGCCATGGCGAAGGTATTTAGCACCTCGCGGGTGGTGTCGCTGCCAGCCTCGATCAGCTGCATGGCCACATACATGGCCTCTTGATCGTCGCCGGTGAACTTGGTCTCCTCATGCAAAAGCACATCGCGCACAAATGAGGGCGGGGCGGTACCTGCGTCAACCTGGCGGCGGACAGGCACCCACCACGAGCGGTAGACCTCGTAGTTCCACTGGCCCAGCTTCTCCCAAGAGCGGCGCCAGGGCTGAAGCACCCACTTTGGAGTCCAGCGATCCAGCTCCGGGAACCAGTCGATCCAGCTGGTGCCGATGCTGCCCACGAACCGGGTCACCACCTCCTGCAGGTCAGCCAGCTCGTGGCTGGATTTGTGTAGCCGCTCGCCCAGCGCGATCCGGTGGACAACCGAGTTGGCGTAGCGGTAGTGGTGCGCGAACCAGCGCCGCGGCTGGTAAAGGTACTCGGCCATCATCTGCGTGCTCTCGAGCTCCTGCCAGCCGCCGTACTGCTTCAGCGCCGAGCCGCTCAGCAGCGCGTGCATCACCCGCCGCTTCTCCGTCCAGCCCTCCTCCGGCGACAGCAGCAGGGACCGTCCGTGTCGACTCACGATGCCGCTAGAGATGGGCATCGGAGACCGGCCGTTGGTCAGCGAGCCGCGCTTGGCGATGATTTCCGCCACGACGCGCTTGCTGTTGAGGAGGATCCATGTCTTGGTGCCCAGGTGCAGCGTCGTCATCTCGCCGTACCGCGCCATCTCGGTCACCTGGTGATTCGGTTTCACACGAATCAGTCGGCCAGTCAAACCTTCATTTATAGTACCATTCTCACTCAACTCACCGCTTTATGGTCTTCATCCCTGGCGCGATCCTTCAGGAAAGGCAGGCTGCCGAGAATCGGGACCCCTTTCGGACCCGGAGGCAGGTTGTATCGCTTCCCACCGGGTCCTCGACGCTTGCCCACTGGCTTGAGCAGCTCTTGGAGGATGTAAAATGAGACTGCGAGACATACAACAATCGTGCCTAGTACTTTGACTCGGGGATGTGCATCCGTCCACGAGAGTATCATGGACAACATCTTGAGTAAGCTTTCTGACACAAATGGTTTTTTGTTGAAGAGAGAATCGATCAACACTCCACTTCATTCATCAGGTCTTGTATGAAGGCAGCTAGATTCTAAAATTGACTTGATGGAAACATTCTTTTCGACGCACAGTACCTAGTGAATGCTGTCCGGAATGCACCCGGACACACATGGGGCGATAACATGTCAGGACCGGGTCTTTCCGGTACCGGGCGTTACACCATCGGCCTGCGTTCCGCAGATCGCGCACTGTAATATTCGGTATAGAGGTCCGTAATGGTTCCGGTCCCGTACCTTCTGTAATTCATTCATCGAACCAGGAGGTACTCCGCGGATTGTCTTGATTTCTGTCTGTAGCCCTGAGGTTACTGTATACTTCCTCATGTCTTGACGTAATACCTGGAATCTTCTATTCTCTTGAAAGAAGTGTTAGCAATCCATTGAAATGTATCTATTTAATGTTCAACACTTTTCGCAGAATTTCGGTGATAAAGCTTTCTCGCGCCACAGACTGGAGCATGTATCTTTTACTGTGCCATCTCTCGCCTCTCCCTCAGAAACTCATTTCCACAGCTCTATCGATCCTCCTACCCTGAGAACTAGAATATCCGGTACGCCTCAGTGGCATACCATAATGTAAGGTCCGCATCATACATTTCTAGTAAATGATATTAAATTTTGCCATATTGATTTGGCTGTTAGAGATAAGAATCACCCGCCCTGGATCTTCCGAGGTATTTTTTTTTTCGCCTTGAACTGTGCCGGCACCAACCCGGAGACAATGGAAGAAAGATATATATATTAGTAAAGAAGAGAGCGGATATGAAAGTGCCTGTCACTACCGAGGAAATCCAAAGAAGGTCATTAGGTTAGAACTTAGCGCCCATGCTCCAATGCGCACACAATATCTAGGCCTGCTGCCTGAGGCTCGCGATTGGTTTCCGCTCAACCCTAACTTCCTGCTCTTCAAAGCAAGCAATGTGCCATCGTGCGGCAACCTGCAATAAATTCAGTCAACAGGATTTTGATACTGCTGAATAAATACAAAAACCTGTGGATAGCTTTGGGTAACGACAAGATCGAGCTTAATTCTCTATCTACAATGGAGCACCTTGTCTTGTAACCCGCGGGCAAACAGACCAACCCTCTGATATAAAAGTCACGATAGGCAACAGAATCTGAGCCCCTTCTATAGAAGCAAGACACCGACCGCAAAAGCCTTTGTCAATTTCAAAGAAAGAGAAATCCAGGAAACAAACAATCAGGAGCCATGGCAGACGTCACTACTCCCACTCCAAAAACCTTCAATCCCTTCAAGCGCCTGCCGCCCGAGCTCCGCACTCTGAAATGGGAATTCGCATGGCCTGATCTTCGCCTGCACCATGCGGTCAGACTGTGTCCCGCGGCAGAGTGTCACTGGAAGCTGTACTGCGGCGACGATTCCGACCGCGCGTATACGGAGATGAAGCCCGCATCGCTGAAGATCATGATGCCGGCGATGACGGCGGCGAACCGCGAGGCGCGCGCTCTCTCCCGGAAGTTGGTCAGGCGCTCCCTGTACGAGTATTTCGAACCGTGTCCGACGGCCACCCTGACACCACCCAGTGAAGAATCCGACCCCTGGCTGGCGTTCGACTGGCGCACGCGTCGCTACACCTTCCGCCGGCTTTACGCTTCTGACACGGTCGTCTACCTATCGCCCGCGGAATTCGAAGCAATTCTCCTGGCCAGAATAAGATGCCAAAATTCGCGGTCATATCTCTTTGAGACGATCGCGGTACCGCTGACGCTGCTCCAACGGCACTCCGAGGCGTTGCGTGTGCTGAGCGAGTACTTCACCCGGCTTAGCTACGTGATGGTCGTCGTGAATGATCTCGATGACCGGCAGAATCAAACTGAGCAACAGCAAGAGCAACAGCCTGACCGGCAGCATGAGCGGCCGCAGAGCTGGTGGGGCCAGTTCGTGCAGTGGAGTAGCGGCGCGGCCCAGGAAGAAGGCCAACAGCGGCAGCAGCAGCCGAAGAGGAATAACACGAAGAAAACAGGCTGGTGGGTCGATAACTCGCACTGGGCGCAGGGGAAGTATCTAGGCCCGGATCCGGCCACCCCCGGGGTTGGGGATTGGATCCATGAAGAGAAGGCCATGCTCAAGACGAACGTCTACAGCATCATCCAACGGGCGTATCGGCGAGTTCCTGCCTTGGATCGTGCGCAGCTTCGGGTCTGCCCGGTTCGGGCCTGTCACAAGGAGGACGGCTGGATTGGCATGGCTTCCGGAAGCAGGTATAGCGGCATGGATATGGCCCTCCAGGTCTCGCCGATTGAGCCCCTGTTGCTGACAGCGCCTGATGGTCCGATAATCAGGTGAGACTTGCGCAAGTAGCTTTATATCTCGAGTTTGAATATGAATACATTTCGACGCAATCAGCATGTGATATCACTTTCTAAGCCAGGAGGCGACCCGGCCAAGCGACCTAGATTTGGTTTATCGTGTCAACATATGTGTTCAGTATATATTCGGAACCCAAAGTAGTATTATCCCGGCACTCCTTCGTTATCGAGTCAAAACCAGAGGGAGAAAGCTTTGTCTTCTTTATGGTCTTCTTCTTTCTTACTTTGCTCCCTGAAATCGCGTTCATCTATCTACTCAATCTCATCGCCCACCTCCTTTGCGCATCAAAAGTGAGCAATGGCTAAAGTCACTGCCAGCCAGCATCACCAACTCTAACAGGTAAAGCGTGACATTCAATGTGATATTGCTTTATTGAACAGATGCAATTACTTTGGTGATCTAGTACTGCACATATTCCCTCGATCCTCTGATCGTGGCTCACTACATGATCCCGTACTTCTCGGGTCTTACTGAGAATTCTCTGCTCAGCAGTCTGAGTCTACATGATTGAGTACCCAAGATTTTACTTGTTAGATATATTTCCAACATTGTTGACAAAGGCTTATCGCGAGAAAAGCGTTTTGGTAGTACTCCTGAAAATAAGTATTCTTTCTCTCTCCTCATCACAAACCCGCTTACAGAGGTCCTATTGATAATCCCCATTATTATGTCAGAGTAGTACGAAACGCCTCGTCGATATCTTGCTACTGGGTAACAAGCCGGGCCTACCTTGTCTCTCATGATGATAACGTTGTCTTCTACGTAAAGATGAGATATGTGGTACTTATTCATTTTATGTGGCTTTTAAAAGAAGGGCAACCATGCACACCACAGCTTTGGCAATATCATCGGTTTGAACTGTGACCCTAGGCTGGCCGTATTTGTCTAACATAGACACATCACAATTGCTCTCCGAAGAGAGAATAGCATCACTCATCCTCCACATCCCTAGACTAGGTCCTAGAAGCGTTCTAGGCTATCTGGTTCTATATCCAAAAGCTACAGAGCGACGATAGAAATTCAGTGGTTATCAACGTGAGAGTGATTGCCAGCGTAGCTGGCCCTTAGAGACCGGGACCAACACTGGAGGAGCCGACGAGCATTTGCGCTTGCTGTTATCAAAGCTCAGTATAGGTTATTCCAATGCGTCCTCTAGTACATACGACCACAGGGTGTGGAAAACAGGGCTTCCCGTCCGCTCAGCCGTACTTAAGCCACACGCCGGGAGGTTAGTAGTTGGGTGGGTGACCACCAGCGAATCCCTTCTGTTGTATGTTTTTTGTAACTATAGCTTTCTTATAGTAAAAAACGAAGCCTTTTATTCCTTTTACCTTCCGATACTTTTCACCCAATTGAGTGTTAACATGAACGAAAGAGGGAGAAAAAAGGTCCGATTCTGAAATCATACTATGTTCACCGAGGGCCTGAGCTGGAGATGCCCACAAATAACCACAATTCTGCCTGGTGAAATTCCGGTCAATCGTCGGAAGCGCTGGTATGGTCGATGGCGACGCGATCCATCAAACACTCACACGGCCCGACCAGTAGAGGGTCATATGGACGCCGATCCTATTGCAATTCGTTACTGCAGGAGAGCTGCGGTAGAGGTTCCACGTCCAAGGGAGTGGTCGATCCTGCACGAAAGATAGTTTCCCATCGAAGAGCTCGGGGTGTGCGAGATCGGCATTCGATCAACATTTACCGAGATTGATCGGAAAAGCGCGGCAGCAACAAGCGAGAGGAGAAAGTGATCTGAGCCGTGAATCGTCGCGACAGTGGAGACACGCAATAAGTTACTCTGGTGCAGCATGCAGTGCGGTTCGATTCTCCAGCTCTCCACATCGAGATTGGGATTGAGTCAGGTAGGTACTCTATAGGGATTGCAGATTGGTCCCAGGACTCTGTAACAGTGGGCCCGAACTGTGGGGCAGCTGATGCTGATCCTCCCCCGGTTCAGCTGAGTGACGAAACCGCCCGATGGATCTACATGCGCGCGGCGGACACATAGCAGGCTTAAATGCTCTGTGCTTGTCCCTTCTCATCCCATTCACAGTCCCAAATTACGGCGTCCTCTCCCGTATTTTGAGAACGCAACAATACCAGTCTAGGACCTGCAAACTTTAGCCCACCCTCTCGAACAAAAATGGATCCTAGTCTCGACGAAGAAAGAGAGGAGATGAAGTCCTTCATGAAAGATGAATATGAAAACATGTACGAAGAGTTCTGGGAAATGGGAGAATGGCAGCTTCAGGAACACTTTGACAAGGACAAACTATTCGAGGCCCGCAACCCCAGCCCTGTTTCAGAGCAAGCGTGACTAATCCCATTGTAGAGCTTCCTTTACTACTTTGATTACAACGGAGAGCAAGAGTGGGAGGTCAACTGGAGGTTCAAGATGATGAGACAGGCGCTCTGGTGATTGGAAAACGAGAGGTACAGTACAGTTGTCCAATGATCTCCGTTCCCTCAGCAACAACAGACCCTGAGACAGATCAGCTAACTAAATCGCACTACTAAGCTTTCGTGGAGACTGGAAGCGCTGCGCCGAGTTGGCGTCCTCGGTCGCCGACTTTGCCCGGGTCTTCGGCTTGAAAAATGTCGTCGGCAAGATGGAGGAGGTAGAAGAGCGCTGCAGGTCGACGGCCGCGGACACCAACCAACTCAGCCATAAACAGGCGGAGCTGGACGATGACGCGCACGAAGCCGACCCAAAAGATGCAGGCGAGGTGGTAGAGGAGCAGGTTGCCGAGGCGTTGGGGCAGCTAGACCTGCAAGCGGATGCACCATCCGCCGAAGACGTCCAGCGCGGGTCGGACGATGATGAGGAGGAGGAACCTGACGAGGATGAGTTCGAGCAGGAGAGGATGAGGATGGGCCAGCAGCTCTGCCAGGAGGTTATCGACGAGCAGGGCCACGTGAATGTCGAGATGCTCAAGGATGTGGTGCGAAGTGGGTACATTAGCATGGAGCAGATGCGGAAGATGATCGAGACGATGATCGAAATCGGGGCGATGGACGAGACCACGATGGAAGAGATGATGCAAATGCTGGATGAGGTCGGATACATGAACGGCGAAGACGCCTTCGGGGAATACGGCGACTGGATGGAGAAGCTCTGGGAGTCCCCAAAGTACCAGACCAATTCGTTCACTCAGGAACAAGCACAATCCGCGAAGACTGAGGCTGATGACGCTCTTCGCCTGCTGTTTTCATGCTTCTACCAAAACGAGGACCCTGACATGTCGACCTGGGATGAAGACAGGAATGAGAGTGAAGCGCCCGAGCCCGAGGGACTCAAGATCAATTGGGGGGTCTTTGCTGTTCGCCTGGCGGTTGGTTTCTTGACGAATGGTCTGAGCGAGGACGCGCAATGGTTCCCCAACAACCTCGAGAGCCTAACCTACTGAGAACGCTACGTGAAAGTCAAGATACATCAGGTAGAGACGTACCTGGTCGAACATAGACTGCTATTCAAGATGACAACAAGGAGCCAATGATTTGTTGGCGCGAGCCCTGTTGCAAATTCCAAGTATAATATTCCTGAGGATAAAATCCAAGAGCAAGCATTACAGACTGCCTGTCACGGGAGACAAAGTAACCTCCTCTTCGTGAGCAATCATCCCTTGACAAACCAAACCCGCGAGCTGCCGAGCATAGGGCCCAAGCCTCTCCTCGATGGCGTTGCGTGCAAAGTGATCCTTCCATTGCTGCCATCGTTCCCTGCTCCACATGTCCTCCCGCCTCCCGACTTTCTCCCGATTCAAGCACTGCCGATACACATGGGCCCTCACTTCGGGTCGCAACAGCCACTGAGCCCCAGCGATCACCCAGCCGGCGAGCCATCTGTACCCCGAGTCTCGACGCGCGGGGTCGTCCAAGTCCGGGTACCAGCCGTCGTCCTGCAGAATTCCTTCCAGCGCGCAGAGATGCGTGCAAACGATCAGATTCCGAACTAGGAAGCGCGTGATCGCCGCTTGGTAGTTCCGCCAGCGAAGTTCTCGATCGGTCGGCGGGGGCTGGATCGCCGGGTAGTGGCGGTAGATAAAAGCTGCATTGACACCATCTGGCAGTGAGATTCTGAACAAAAAGAAACAAAAAGAAACAAAAAGAAGGATTGCTCCTCACCCTCTCCTTCGTAGCGAACCCGACGACAATGCCAGGAAGTTCCCGTCCAGCGGCCACACTTCCAGTGTGGTGTAAAAAAGCTTATCCTCCTCATCATTTTCTCGCATCGGATTGATGATCTGGATGCCGTGTCGGGGGAGCGCTTTTAGGGTTTCGAGAAAGGCGACGATGCGGTCTTGCCCGACGTGCTCCGGCGGAAAAGCCGAGGCGAGTCGGGTAATACACCGCACGACCATTTCAAAGTGGGCTTCTGGGGCTGGGGCTCCGATCGTGACTACTTCTTCCTCGGTTTTTCCCTCCATTTCCACAGTCAGGGGATCTTCAGTCAATACTGTATGTGGCGGCATCTGATCGCGATGGTAGGTATACGCTCGGTGGAGTTCGTATCGCTCGTTGGATTCCGTGGTGATGTAGGTGTCAATCTCGGTCGCGGCCTGCGTGGGTGTCGTCTCGCCGTTGACCAGTGATATCAGTAGTGTCTTATACCAGATATCTTCTTCATCGTCCCAGTCTTCCAAGAGATTCAGGTCCAAGACCGAGTCGAACTCTGGATCTGGGGTTGCGGAGGGTTAGGGAAGCATTTCTGATAAGGTGCTGTTGTTGTGTGTTGACTGAGTAGTGGGGTTGGTTGAAGGGCTGGAGTGAGAGTGAGAGACTCCAAGATAGGGGTGGCCTAAGAACGAAAGAGAAATAAGGGTTCGGTTGTGGCTTAAACATACAGTCAAAGTAAGCACTAAGTTAGTAACCTGGTGAATGGGAGCTGGAGACAAGGAATAGGGCTATCCTTCCCGGGCGGTAACTCACAGAGACATCACTTCCAACAGAACACAGGTCTGCCAACATAAGAATGCATCACTGGCTATCTCCTATTGTAAGATACGGCCCCCATATGACCCCCAGATTGCCTCAACCCTGGATCTCATTCCTCCAGCCCCCATTGAGGCATCGTGGCGGACCCCAACAATGCAGATAGACGAACGTCAAATAGCAGTGTATCATAGAAAGAACATTCATGAGTGCGATGTTGTACGATGCAGACGCTGAAACAACCTTGGTCGACGATGACGGCTTCCCATAGCTTTCTTGTATATCCCACAGACCGTAGGCGCATTCCATTGGTGACTCAACTTGTTCGTATCGTGAGTGCTGATCTGTTGAGTCTTGTCCACTCTTTGGATAAGGAAATCATTCATTCTCCTAAGCCGGCCTGATCAATAGACAGTGTCAGATAACTGTGAACTAAGAAGCTGGAAACAAGCCCTATAAAGCCAGCCTCATATAACCCATATCTTGCAACTACTACAACAATCACCCATAATTTCACTCGCTCATCCACTCGTTGATCGATACCTCTGTTTATTAATATAGAAATTCATTCATTCATTCATCCAAAATGCAAATCAAGAACATCCTCGCCATTGCCCTTCTCGCTTCTCCAACCTTCGCACTACCTGCTGCTGCAGGACCCAGCGAGAGAGATGAGCTCAACCTCTTCGAAGCCCGCGCGGTGAGACTTGGACTTTTCTCACATTTCCCTTCTTCCCTCTAAGAATCAAAAACCCCATGAAGCTAAACTTGTCCAAACTCCCCGCCGTCGGGGAACAACGGTAACCTGCACCCCGGAAACGAAAAACAAGTCCAAAACCAAGTTCACCGTCAACGTGGCCACGGCCGAGGCCCAGGCTAAGACGGGTGGCTGCACTAAGGGCAAGAGCGGCTACCCGCACATGTTTGAGAACAATGACGGGATTCACTGGGGCAATACCGCGTGCGATGCGTAGAGTGGGCCCTCGAGTCCACTGCAGGAGTACCGGTATACTGGACCACCAGCAAGGTGAAAACGTGGTTGAAGGACGAGAAAAGGGGTAGCAACAGAGTTCCCACTGGCTCCAAGACTCCCGTTCGCGTGGTATATATGGAGGGCAACAACGGCGAATTGTTCTACTGTGGTGTCATGATCCACAAGGAAGTGGAGTCGGATAATACTGGCAAGGGGTTCGTCAACATTGGCTCCTGATGTCTCTTGATCAACTGCTCGCCAGGCTCGAATAGTTGGCAGACAGGAGTGAGAGATATGGATCATGCTTTGGATGTTTGTTCAAGTTATGCCTGCTCTACTATGTACAGTAGTCCTCTCACACGGCCGCTTGTTTGGCCCCTCTGTGTGGAGCCTGAAGGGAATAGGATTACAATTTTATCTATACTTGATAGAAAGTAAAACAGGTAGCAGAAGAAAGAAAACTTGATAGCTTGATACGGTTAAAATAGGATTAGCATAGGCATGCGGCAATTCCATTGAGCTGCACATCATGCAGACAATTAATCATCTCTCATGTTTCCAAGGAGGAAATAGATCCATCAACAACTTCAGGATAGTGTTGCTATCTATTCTCGTCAATGCAAAACTCGGGTCTCGATATGGAATGACGAAAGTATCATAGTTGTTAGGAAGGAGGCCCTCCTCATTCCAACCTGAGGGGGAACTTTGCAAGCTCAAGCATCCGGTAGCAACGTCTCAGAGAGACCCCGACTCATGCATTGCCACTACCTTGAGTATTTGCACGACGCACCAAACTGTTCAACGTCGGGGGACGGAATCTGTATTTTCCTTTGGATGGGGGTGGGGGAGGATCCGCCCTGTCCAGACTGTTAGATTCCTCCGGAACGCACAAACACCGAAGAGAAGAACATACCCATCATATGCCAGCTTAACCAGCAGATCGCCACCCTGGTTGAAGAGAGGATCCTTCATGAAGAAGGTACCGGCGGCCGGGAGGCAGAGGCGGTTTGCGTTAGCCATCGCCTCGGCCAAGACATTACTGACATCATGTAGTGCAGAATTCATGCTTTTCTTGAGGCCGTCTGCCATCTCGTCGGCGATATTTTGCGCGGTGTCTGTCAAGTGCATACCCCCACCCTCGTCGTATGTAACCTTCACATGGTCATTGCTCTCCTTGAAGCGAAAGACAAGTCCGCCCTCTTCAATAGAGGCCATGTCGATTTCTAGTTCCCATGTGGTGTGTACAGTCACCCAGAACCTGCAGATTCAGGGCCACCCGCCACGTCAGAAGACACATCCAGACCGCCAGGAGACACAAAACAGAAAGGAAAGGGGGGCTCACTCGGTAGGACTCCCCGAGGATCTGTGATGATTGAGGTCATATTTGAAGTCATTGCCTCCCTTCACAGTGAGGCTTTCTTTTCCGGCCGTGAACGCGACACTGGCCTGGATATTGGTGACTAGATGGTGTCAGCCTCTCGAGCCCTTGGTCTATCCTTTTTAGAAGAGACAGAAGAGAAGGCAATGCATACCATACTGTGCCGCATTCATCCAATCACTCCCACTATCGGGTTTATTGACTTTCCTCGCCGTGGACTTATCCTCGGTGCTCGTGGACCAGCCGCCGTACGCATTCGAAACCCATTTATAACTGCTGTTTGACGCCCCGGTATCGCCGATATGATACCTGGTCCAAAAGCCATAGGGCGCATCGGACGGTGTTCCCTTCCACTCGAGGTACGGCGTGTCCGGCACTGGAGTCATGGCCACCACCACCTGTCTGGCGAGGGGCAGCATCCATTCCCAGAACAAAGTTCGGCTCATGCAGAACGAGGCCCCTCGATCGCCTGCGCCATCGACCCACGGGCCGGTGTAGCCCATGGCACCCTCGGCCGGGGGATTCTTGAAGTTCGACATCAACAGGTATGACAAGGCGTTGTCGTCCTGATAATCCTTGTTGGATCCCTGGCCATCCACTCCACGCCATGGATAACAGAAGTAATCGATACTGGTTGGAGGGAACGATGGTGCGTATGGGTTGACTGCAAGTCACATCAATCAGCAGGTTCCTTGGGGCGCTGGCACTACACGCGAGGGACTCTCTTACGCTCATCGGCGCTTTTGCTTTCCTCGCGCTGGGCCGAGTATCCTAGAACACTCTTGCCATTTTCCGACATTCCCTTAACCCAGTGATCGATGAAAGTAAGCAAGCTAGCCCGCGAATCGCCACTCAGTTCGCTCAATTTGTTTTTACCGAGAGTCGAGATGTCTTCGTTGAACTTGGTGCTAGCTGTGGTTGGATGTCAGAAACAGGCCGTCTGATAGGGAGGACGATAAGCACTAACATGAAGAGTCAATGAAGAGCTGCGCGAGAGAAAAGTTTGACTCGGGAAGCCCTGCACGCTCTTTGAACTTCTTGTACTCTTCAGAGTCCTTCGAAATTTTCTTCTGGTCTGGCGGAGGGTCAGCATCGGCAGTGCGAGCACAAGCCCTTCCTATTTT